TCTCGCATAAATGCGGCATCAAATAAATATAAGAATGAGGAATAAGGAAAAAGAATTGGAGAAGAAAAACTGCCGACGTTTTAACTCAGTTTAATATGTGGAGAGAATATGTTTATGGGGTGAAGTTTTATTGAACATACGAACATCGTAAATATGGAAATAAGAAATGGAAAATTAGCTTATTATTTTATGCCTTTAAAAACACAGTATTATGAAAATATATTAGGAATTGGTTGTTATGGGATAGTACAAAAAATACTCCAATTTCCTTGAAGTGTAAATTGATAAAATATGTTTAATATCGTTTTAATTACGAATGGTGTCGAATTTACTGCAAATTTCATTTTGATTTTTAATGTTATAAAAATATAAATAAACAAACTATGCAAAAAACCTCAAAAACCAATGTTGATGTTTGTAAAATGGCGACTGCGATATAAGGCTTTGTTTAGTTTTATTTTCGCGTTTTTCGTTCGCTCATATTTTTCTGCGCTCTTTTTATTTCTGTGATATGCGATACCGGATGGTAAGAGACTTTAGCTTCAGTCTGCCACATTATGTGACATATGTTTCTCCAGTCGCTTTTTAAAGGCTTCCGTTTACGGAAAAGGGACGTTCCCAGCACTCAACAATTGCATATGTAAACATATCCTAAATACAATTTCTTTTTAAATGTATGATACTATACCACAATCATCTAAGCAAAATACTTATCAAAACAATTTTAACAATTAAATAATGACAAGTGTTGTTAATTGTTAAAATTGTTTGAATGAGTTTTTTGAACCATGATAAAATAGAGTTTTACTGAAAAAAAATTACCGATATATCCAATTGTATAAAATTTTGGAAGAACGACACCAAATGCTAGTAGAATAGATAGCATTGAAGGAGAAGCAGAAAATTTAGCATCTACCCATTATAAAATCTACCAAGACATTCATAACCATTAACTATTGAAAAAAAAACAAATAATATCGTTAAATAGATTCTCAGTTATTATGAATTTTACATATAAAATTTCCTCAAAAAAAAAGATTAACATAATATATTATATCCAATGATATAAGATTTTGGAAGAACGGCGAAAATAGATAGCATTGAAGGAGCAGAAAATTTAGCATCTTCAAGACTAATAGCATCTAATTCCATCTAAAATCTACCAAGCCATCCTTATCAATTAACTAAAATATCAACGTCTGCTACTGGGAACGTCCCTCTTTAGATTTTCCGCTTATTCAACAATTTTTCGCGAGGCGACTGATTCTGCTTTTCATAAAATTTCCTATTCCCAAGAAGTCTTTTAATAAATAATAACAAATTGCCATGTCAATAAATAAAGCTTGTCATTTTGAAAATGCAAATGTAGTTTTGTAGTTATTTGAGTTTATCTAACATCAAATCTGATAAAGTGATATTGAATAAAATTCTTTTTGATTAAATTAAAAGGTTTAAACCATTGCATGTATGCATGTATACATCTTTTACGCTAAATTCATCCGCACAAAATGAGAAAGTTTACCTACATGGAAAATTCGGCTTTCCCCGGAAACAAAATTGATTTTTCTCCTTTATTTCCCGCTTTTCTTGTCGAGCTGTTGAGGGTTCAGCGAAAAGGCTGTTTAGTGTCAAGTAAGGTTTTTATATATTTACAATGGATTTATTTATTGCCTTTTATATTTTAAGGAAAAAAACGAAAATACTGATGAGTGTTTTTTTTGGGATTTCATATTTACCTTCGTATATATTTGTGATACATTTATCTCGGTGCAGAGGTTATATGTTAATTTTGAAACACAAAGAACCTTAATGTAGGGTATACACTAAGTGTCAAAAGCCTTACACCACGAAGTATAATATAAAAATATTAATATTTATTGCATTTCAGTAGTATAAATATTGAATTGTGAATGTTTTTGATATGTAACTAAAAAAAACACCGTAAAAACCGAAGAAGTAAATCCGTTTCGAAATCTTAAACAAAATATGCAGTTTTGCACGTGTCGCTTAACATTCAATAGTGTTGAAAATCCTCTTAAAAATGACTAGAGCTAAACTTGTCAATGAAATTCTTTGAAGAAGGTCTGTCACATCGACGAATAGCTGATAGATTAGGCTGGGACCATAGTACGGTTACTCGGACCATTCAAAGGCATAATGAGACAGGTTCTGTGGAAAGTAGACATCGAAGTGGGCGTCCAAGGGTTACAACTCAAACGAAAGACCGATATTTAAGTCAAGTAACTATTTTTTCCTAGATACTTGACTCCATCACGGTCAGCAGTCTTCGAAGGCAGTACCAGGCTTCTTATTTCTAATGGTTGGAAGATCACCAAAACTTGTTATTGCCTCAATGGTCAAATGTTCTGTTCTTGGATGAAGTGGCTCCCAATTTCATTTTTATGGATGACCACATCGAACTAGAGTTATTCTAGAGTTTTTCTCCGGACATGAATCCCATTGAAACGTCTGGGATTATTTATTCAGATTGATTCGTAACCGTTTGAACCCTCCCATGAATGTTCAAGAGCTTATTGTAGCCGCTGTTGAGGAATGGAATACCATTATGTAAGAGGATAGTTTGTTACCATTAAATGCGGTAACTTCTAGATGGAATTACAAAGTGGTGCAAGACTTTTAAACTGAGTGTATTATCTTAACTACAATACTGTCTCGAGAAAAAAGTATCAGCGTTCAAATAAAAATAAATTGTTCAGGTTTTCTCACTTACTTATTAATATTAACCAAGTGTTGTTAACATTTTCTTTTGGCGCTATAATGTCAACTAGGTACTTTTATTGGTCGGATAGCTTTTTGCAATCTCGAGAATTAATGAGTACAAATATAGAAATGGTTTTTCTATGATGGAACTGTTCGAAGAAGAGTTAAGATTCTAATAATGCTTATTTTCTGTTCTTTACAACTTAAATATATAAAAACATATTATATACAGGGTGTCTGTAAAACATACCGAAAACCTTTCAGGACAACAAACATGTTTTCCGTTAAATCAATTGAAAATTTTAAATCATCTAATGCTAATTTGCAGACACCCTGTATTTTAACTGCAATTTTTCTCTTTTGCATTTAAAATATCCCCTATTTACTCTAATATAAATTCCCCACGAAACATCATAAATATGTTTGGAATCCATGCATGAAAATATCTATAAAAATGGGTTTTCACAAAAGTGACTTTTCACGCTTTATGTAAATTTTCCTCGAGACGTTCAAAAAGCAAAATAAGATCACGTACAATGCTCGAAGCTCGAAGACTGTTTATTTAACAATTTCGTCTTTACTATGGTAAAATGTTTGTGTGCCTTTTTAAGCACCTCGTGTTTTTTATTTACATCAATGGAGTGTGTGATAATTTTACGTATATTTTATTGTATTTGCAAATTGCGTCATACTACCCAACTGTACTTTGCTTTTTCAATAAACTCCTTACAGAAAGTTTGTATTTCACTAAACACGATAATAAATCAGCTTCTTATTCGATTCGGGCTTCGCCTCCGCTGCTTATTCATTTATTTACTTCCTTATTTCGTTTTTTTTTTCATCTTTTTCTCGTTCAATTCCAACGAGCGAAATCCTCTTGATTTATTTTATAGGTGTATAAATAAGCGCGCGCTTCACGCAGCGGCTCTGGTTTATGAACAATACAGTTTTAACATCTACAAGCCTAATAGAATCTAAACCCATTATAAAATCTACCTTGTTTAAAAAAAACAAATAAAAACGTTAAATACATTCTCAATTATTATCAATTTACCATATTAATTTTAAAATTTTCTCAGAAAAAAAAACGATATACATAATATGACATATCCAATTATATAAATGTTTGAAAGAACGACAGCAAATGCTAGTAAAATAGATAGCATTGAAGAAGGAGCAAAAAATTTAGCAACTACAAGCCTAATAGTATCTATACCCATTACAAAATCTACCAAGACACCCATATTAACTATTGAATAATAACAAAAAAAAACAAATAAAATCATTAAATAGATTCCTAATTATAATTAGGAATCTATTTAATGATTTTATTTGTATTTATGATAATTATCATCAATTTTACGTTTAAATTTTAAAATTTTCCCAGAAAAAAAACGATGTAAATATATACAATTAAATAAATTTTAATAGCATCTATAGGTACCCATTATAAAATTTACCAAGACACCTATTAACCATTAAAAAATAAAAAAACAAATACAATCATTAAATAGATTCTCAATTATCATCAAATTTACGTATAAATTTTTCCTCAGAAAAAAAACCGATGGTAATAAATCCAATTATATAAATTTTTGAACGACACCAAATGCTAGTAAAATAGATAGCATAGAAGGAGGAGCAGAAAATTTAGCATCTACAAGTCTAATAGCATCTATACCCATTATACAATCTACCAAGACATTCATATTAATTAACCAAAATATCAACGTTTGCTACTAGGAATGTCCCTCTTTAGATTTGCGGCTTATTCAACAATTTGTTCAACAGAAACTTTGTATTTCACTAAAGACGATAATAAATCAGCTTCTACAAGTCTAATAGCATCTATACCCATTATACAATCTACCAAGACATTCATATTAATTAACCAAAATATCAACGTTAGCTACTAGGAATGTCCCTCTTTAGATTTGCCGCTTATTCAACAATTTGTTCAACAGAAAGTTTGTATTTCACTAAACACGATAATAAATCAGCTTCCTATTCGATTCGGGCTTCGCCTCGGCTGCTTATTTATTTATTTACTTCCTTATTTCGCGATTTCTTTCCATCTTTTTTCTCGTTCAATTCCAAATCCTCTTAACTTATTTTATAGGTGAATAAATATTTTTATTTGCGCTATAAAGTTATATGTTTTGACATGTCTTTTTTAAATCGCAAATCATAGGTGTATGTATATATAAGTGTTAAATTTACTGGGCACAAAAAAACGAAATAAAAAACGCATTCAAACTGACACTTTTAGACTCTCTTACCTTATCATCCTCGCCCTCGCTATCACACTGTAACAAAAAAACGAGAAAAAAATCCATTAGTAAAAGGGTACAAAATGGGGGAAAAACTGACATGCAAAAAAACAGGGGGGGGGAGTGGTAGGTACAGAAGGTAGAAGCAAAACGGAAACGGTTTGGTTTTAAATAAAATAATAAAATGAAGAGATATTATAAAGTCAACAGAGATGATTATCCGCAAGGAACTTCTTTAATTACTTTGTTAAAAAATTGAGGCGTATTTTTAAATGAAAAAGTCTTTAATAAGGAAAGTTTTCGTAATTTTTAAGAGCAATTCAGACTTAGTTTTAACTGTTTCAAAGTTTAATTAACATTTACATAAAATCACTATTATTATTATGATTATTAATCCTACTTCCACCCAAATTATTTCATTGATGCCATTTCCCCGTCTCATCTGAAACCTAATCCATTAAACGAGCAATAATTTAATTGAAGCATTCACTTAAACAAGGGGGAAGGAAAATGTAATCCTTTAGATGATCGTTAAAGTTTCCACCCGAGATTTGAATTTTTCATTTGTTTTTCGAATGTAGCTTTACAATTTGGGAAACGGCCCACCTGGTTGAGACAGGTGTCAAACTTAACTTCATCGAATCGCCCAACCAGTTGTACAGTTTAAGTTTGACTATTGATCCGGTTTTCTAAGAATTTCGTTAAAAGTGTTGTAAGATGAAAGTTTTGAAGTGATACTGCCAAACGGGGAATCAATCTTATTCAAAAATACAACCAGTTAATTACCAAGGACGACAAACAAATGCATTAAACGTTTATTAGATTATCTAGCGTAGTAAAGTAAATAACATACCGTTTTATGGTTGTTTGTAAAATGCTAAGCATAATAATTAAGCCAATGATTATCTCGTTATTGAATCTATTAGGAGAAGAGCGTACACGAACGATAATTAATTATTGATTTGCGATGAGTTCTAATAATAGATAAGTTTATTGGGAATATATTATTAAGTGATGACATGGTTCTCGGATGCAATTTATGGCAGTTGTTTATAAACTACAGTTGTTTATAAACTATAGTTCCCTGCTTAAAATACCCCATAGAGACCCTGTTCAAACCGATAGATATTTGTATCGGGATGTATGGTGTTTCTATAAGGTGTATCGGTTTGTATAGGACCCATACTTGAGATTTATGGTTGTTCTATAGGGATATCCACCATTGATTTATTTGCTATCGGATTCAATGGGGAAAATACACATAAATGTAGAAATTAGGTTTTTCCCTATAGGACCCCATAGGTTTTAATACAATTTTGTCAAATGTTTTATAGTTGCTCTATAGGGATATCCCTATATATCCTTCATTGAGTTATTTTCTATCGGTCTCAATAGGAAAAATGTAAAAGTTATGGTGTGCCTATAGGTAATTTCCTATACATTTTCCATCGGGCTGTATCCGGAAAAAACCATGGACAAATGCACATATTGAATCCGGTAGCGCCCGATAGATTATTTTGTATAGGTCTCTATGGGGTATTTTAAGCAGGGTTGTCAAATTTAAAGAAAATTTCATAAGATGTTTAAAAGGCCCAAATTTAACTTAGGACTTCATTCTTACCCTTTTATAAAAAGTTACATGTATATCCCTTACGCTCCATGTGGCTACAATTGTGACTTTCTTATGTACATATACTTTATGGGTTAAAATGATACAGTGGAGCTCCCACTCCTCAATCGTACAATTGTGATATGTGTTTACTACGCAGACAAGAGCATGCGCTCACCAATTTCTGCCTTGTTTTTGTTTTGGATGGCAATTTAGGCGTGCTAGTTCTTTACATCATTGCGTCTAATAGTAAGTCATTGTCTTTTTATTACAAAAATGGGTTTATTTAATGTAGAATGCTTAAAGTGTCTTCGGGAAAGGTTAATTCTTTGACTCTTCAAAAAAAAAAATTTTTAATTTTGGTTTTCATATTAAAGCAATTTTGTCGAGAAAACTTTAATTTTGCTTTAAAATTTGAATTTTAATTTCTCAGGAGTGTAAGGGATATACAGTGTGTCTACTTAAGTTGGCAAACTTTTTTATTATTAACTTTAAGAAGAGAAGTTATTCTTCATAAAAAGTTCTGCATGTTCTAAAATCTAAATTACGATCATCAGATATAAAAAAAGTTTCAGTCAAAAAATATGAATCTTACTCAAGAGTAAAGTAGGTACCTTTATAAATATTTGACAATATAGAAAATTCCTATTAAAAAAAGTTGATAAGAACTAAAAACTACTTTCAAATATGAAAGAATTTTCTATATTGTCAAATATAAAGGTACTTTACTCTTGAGTAAGATTCATATTTTTTGACTGAAACTTTTTTATATCTGATGATCGTATTTTAGATTTTAGAACATGCAGAACTTTTTATGAAGAATAACTTTTCTTCTTAAAATTAATAATAAAAAAGTTTGCCAACTTAAGTAAACACACTGTATATGGTATGTGAACCATCCCAAATTTAAAATTTAAAATCTTATACACAATAAATTTGTATGCATTAATTTTGTATTTTATAGCGCGACGAATAGCCGTATGGACACGTCAAAACTGGTGTAAGCTATAAAATCTCAGCAAAACTCGATATTAAATAATCCATGGCTCGACTCGATCGACATGCGGAATCGACGCTAATGCGACTCTGCGAGTATTTTTGATTTATCGACAGATTTTTCGGATATTCATCCGGTGGTTATTCAATGTTTTTATTGCTTGACGTATGGTTGAGAGACGGTTTTGTATAGGTTTATAACGCCAAAAGTTTTTTAACATTTTTATCTTGTTTGTTTTTTGCACAACCTATTTTATCGGGCACGATATTAGTCGCTATAAGAAAATGTTGTCTACTTAAATGACATTTACAAAGTTTTAGAAAGATTGACCGTCTGGTTTTCGAGTAAAAAAACATTAAAGTCGCTATAACTACCTCGTTTATTATCTGTGTTATGAATCTTGACAAAAATGTATATGGCTTTTACAGGTATAAGTGCCTTCAAGAAAAAAAATCTTATTTTCATCTTCATCTCTTAAAACAAATTTATGGCGCGCCGTTTTAGCATTTATTGGATTAACTATCGTTTGAAGATTAAAGTTTAGTACTTTAATGATGTTTTAACAAAAATTTACAAAGTTAAATTTTTTTAAACTCAAAGCAATTGATAGTCAAAAATATTTTAAATATAAAATACAACTGTAAAACTTTAAGCCTAAAACTATTGATTTTTAAAAATTATACTTCAAATATTTTATTCTACAAAATTATCGGTTTAAATTTTTAAAGTAATTTAAATTTTTAATACAAAAATTCTCTCATTACATTTAAATGTAAGTTTTAAATTTTAAAGTGATAATTTTCGTATCGACTATCATTTAAATGCCTCTTTAGAATTTTTTTATTTTTAACAATTTTACATTGATACATGTTTAACACAAAATTTATAACTTTAAATTTAAAAGTCGATAATTTTTAGTGGTCAATTTAAGCCCCATAGTCTTAGCGCGAAGTCCGCAGCATATGCAGTCAGCTAAAGCAGCTTTTACACTTGTAATGTGAATATGTTTGTGTTAAAAATTTATCAATTTAAATTTGTTTAAAATAAAAGGTATTGGTTTAAATTTCTCAAGAGTCATTTAATTGATAGTCAATACATTTTTAAACCAAAAATTACCACTTTAAAATTTAAAACTAACATTTAAATGTAATGTGAGAATTTTTGTATTACAACTATAAACCAATAATATTGTAGAATTAAATAAAAAAAACTAATTCTTTTAAAAACAGTATTTTTAACTTAAACTTTTACATTTGCATTTAATATTTAAAATATTTTTTGATTCTCAATTGTTTTGAGTTTAAAAACTTTTTAAACAATTTTGGTAAAAAAGGTTTTATATAAATATGTGTTTTTATTTTAAATGTCTCGACACTATTTTTAAATACTAACAAATTTAACTAATTTAATCCAATTAATTTTATAAAATATTTAATTAAGATTTAAAAAATTCTGCCCAAATAAATTATACTAAGAAATTATTTTTATTAAAAAATGAAGTTTTTGTTAACTTTCACCGCACAGTTTTGCAATGATAAACGATAATGTTGACTGTGTCCAACCAAAATTATCAATCTGTCATTCTCGTCTACAAGATCCGACAACACTGGATTACGACCACGTGATTATCTAGGGATATCTGGTTTGATGTTTTTTTCGAACTTTGTTTTTAAAAATAATTCCACCTTCTTTGGTTTTCTTTTTTTTATTTTCTTTCTTTCTTATTTTCTTTGTTTTTACTTCTACTGTCAAAAGTAGTTTTTGCATTTTGGTAGGTACCTATCTATTGTTACTTAACCATCGAGTATAAAAGCACCTCCCCTTACCCCTTTCCCCTCAATATAATGCCCGAACCTCCTTAAATACACTGAAAATAATTTTGTTCGTAATATCAATAAACACTATTTATCGAAATTTATTTATTAGCACAATGAATATAATCGTTAAGTCAATTATTAGGGGTTCTTGGATGATTAACAGGGTTATTGGTTTAACGAATTACTGTTCATTACTTTTTTCCTACGAAGTCAGTAACTTTTTTTGCTGACCCAATGAATCCTGTTCATTGGGCCAATAAACATAGTACATCAAGCGCGTTTACGTAAATTGATAAACAAAATTCGTTAGATTAATGAATACTGGGCATTAATCAATGAATGCATTTGTTATATCAATGAATCAGTTCGATAAATAAATGAACGTGTACATTGGTTTAAAGAAATATTTTGATTGATATTAAGAACAATAATTGTACGTCAGGACAATGAATTCAATTATTCACTGATATAAGGGTTTCTCTAAGCCAATAAATGCATTAATTGACTCAACGAACATTTATTGACTGATGAATACATTCGTTTGACCAATAAATGCGTTTATTAAGCTGATAAACAGTACATAAAATATAAGAGATTTTATTGGTTAAAACAA